TTTAATGTGTAAACATAAAATATAAAGAAATATAAAAGTAATGTCTTCCCATTCGTTCATTCAAATTGTATTTCAACATATCACAGGTTATAACGACTTGACCCCCAAGACCTCCCACCAATATTTCTCGTGTATGCATCCACATATATTTGATGCTGGCTACGCCACAGGTATCTAACTGCAAGTAAAATACATTAAAACATCGTCCCACTGTTGAAAGGTTTGAACTTAAACATACAAAATTCACCTTTCAGAACAGCGGTTGGTAAACATGAGACATTGAAAATTTAATTAAAGAGATTCACCTGACTACCTGATATCCTCCACTGGCTCAGCGGTAAGTCTGAAGGCTTATAACGCTAAAAACCGGGTTTAGATACCCGCGAGGGGCACAGCACGGATAATCCATTGTACAATTTTGTGTACTTAACAACAAAGAAGCACGTGGTAAGAAGTACAAGTACTGTGTAAACGTAGAACATGCCAAAATGTCACCATCAGGATTTCATTAAAACAATAAGGGATAAATTATATTGTCAGGAAAATGTGTGAGCAAATTAAACTTTGACACGATATTTGTTACTTTAGATAAATGATAACCTTGTTTTCCAAAACACGTTTTTATTATTTTTGCTCACGTGTGTATATAATAGTGCGTTATGAAAGACAAATATTTAAAAGAACCCCCTGAATACCCACCAAAGATGATCAATATTAACAATTGAAAACGAATGTTTCTGAAGGTTTACAATCTCAAAATTCTAGTTTCGATACCTGCGATGAGTAGAACACATCCCACTGCGTAGCTTTGTGCTTAAGAACGAACATTAAAAAAACTCATCAAGAATTAAATGACAGTCGTGGACGAGAAGCTATTGAAATAATTGTTTTCCTCTGTTATTGTTATTATATTTGTACTAACTTTAATTTTACAACTTTTTGTTCATGAAACAACATGTATAACTAGGTGAAAGAAATCTGGTAATTAATGTCCTTGCCACCCAGTGGCACGGCGATACGTCTGCGGACTTACAACGCGAGAATCCGGGTTTCGATACCCGTTGTGTAGCTTTGTGCTTAACTACAAACAAATAAAACGTCTCATTTTAAACACTTGGGTTATACTATAATATGACGATTATATATCAGTTACGATAACGTTTGGAACCATAATTTGTTTTGCAGGCGTGCCATTTAAAAACATCGCAACATGAACAAACACCATTAGATATTGAAAGGATTTGTTTCACTGACCACATTTATAGTAAACTACATTGAACCCTCTGTCGTTATATCCTTGGAATATCTCGTAAAATCGTTTGAAAAATGGCTGTCGTAACAAAGGTGTTAAGTACAGTGATGCTTCCAGATAAAAACATGAACTTTGTTTATAAGTACTATAAAAATGAGCGTTTTTGGATGTTAAGTACAGTGATGCTTCCAGATAAAAGCATGAACTTTGTTTGTAAGTACTATAAAAATGAGCGTTTTTGGATGTTAAGTACAGTGATGCTTCCAGATAAAAACATGAACTTTGTTTGTAAGTACTATAAAAATGAGCGTTTTTGGATGTTAAGTACAGTGATGCTTCCAGATAAAAACATGAACTTTGTTTGTAAGTACTATAAAAATGAGCGTTTTTGGATGTTAAGTACAGTGATGCTTCCAGATAAAAACATGAACTTTGTTTGTAAGTACTATAAAAATGAGCGTTTGGGGGGCATTGTTGGATAACTAGTGTGCTGATGAAGAACGGTTGTCGTAAAAATTAATATAAACTGTTTAAATTCAAAATTATAAATTATATTCTCAAAACCAAGTGTTTTCTTACTCTTCACTGGAACTGAAAAACATGTTTTTTGTAGTTTGTGTAAAGCTATTTTTGAAGTGATAGACTGGAGGAAAGACAGCTACTGAACACCGTGCACCGCTAACTCGTTTTTACAACGCACCCCACGGGCCCCAAAGTGCGAGAAAACATCCTTGATAATCAGTCAAAATTATTCAACATTAAACGCTTCTTTATAAGTGTCTGAAAAGTCCGTAGATTAAAAATTGGAAAGGGGAATTTTGGCAATAAAATTATAAAGAAAAACGATCCTTACTCTCCAGATAATAGCAGAACTCTTTTTATTTCAGAAGTTCTCTTACTAGACCTGATGAAGCCGCAAGAGTCGTTGGCTTAAATAACTTCATCTCCAAAGTGTCTAAATCCCTCCAGTATACGTTATATACACGCCCACTTTACCTATTCCAGATAACGTACTAAAATTTAGATTTAATATGAACGCTAAGAGAAAGATGTTTGTTGTTAAGCCTACAGCAGGCACGTTAAAAACTCATGGACAGTAATTACTTTTGGAATATTGTAACATACACGAAGATTTTACGGTTTTTTTTTGTTTTTTTTTTTCAAAGACGTGTTGGTTGCTTTCCTATAAGTTCTGACACGACCCCCCCCTCCCCAAAAAAATATATAAGTATCATTATTAAATGGTCTTCTTTAACAGGACATTCTTATTATTCCTATATATATATATATAGAAGTGTTCAAATTATAACTTACGTTAAACAGTAGTAAACAACAATAAAAAATGCGATAATTTCAATTTGTTTGTTTTAGTGCACTGTTTCTACTACGGGGATCGAACCGTAAATGTTAGCGTTATAATCCGCTGAGCAATCAGAACGAACGGCACCGTCTACTGTAAATAACTAACCCCCCCCCCCTAATAAAGGTGAATGTTGTACGATCAACAAATCGTCAGAATTGTGTGTTTCTCATAGCAAAGCCAAGGAGGAATCAAACCAATGATTTGAGCGTTTTAAATCCATTGACTTGCCGCAATTATTATTTTACCAGTGGTTGGTGTATTGTACGAAAGAAAATGTTCATTGGACCGTTTTATCGTAGTTCCATTTGTAGTTGATCCACGAGTTTCGAACTAACACCATTTTCTTCTTGCCTTTCACTAGTGGAAAAGTTTCATTTTGATATTTGTAGCGGAGATGATACTTGAGTGTAAAAAATTGTTGTGATAACTTTGGATTCTTTCGGCTCCGTGGAACTGAAAAATCTCCATATTAATGCTTCCTGCATGCCCGAACGAACGCTAACGACTGACATAAGATATATGTAGACGTTTTCTGCTTCTGTTGAAACCCTTGTCTTGGGGCTTTCGTTTAAACCTCCGATATTTTTCACCCACATTATTGTTCTGTCAGCTGTGAAGTTTTCATCAGCCCGCGTGCCAGTTTCCTTCCTAATAAATAAAGTTCATGGCTGAGAAAATGTGTTTCTGATTATGAAAAAAAAAAAAAAACGTGTGGTGTCTGAAAGTAGACGGGGAGTTCTGTTTGTGATGCTCTGGTGGGCTTTTTGTTTGACCTCGGAGCCGAGTTACTGGAAGAAGTAATCCTGTTAATAAAAGCCATACAATCGTTACGTAGGGAACCGAAATACATTTATTAAATGATAAAATGAATTACCGAGTACGTTTATAAATCAGATCTGAAGTGCTATCAACGTCAGAAGTTTGTCAGCGTGAATATTGATGTATTTTATTGGTGCTCTTGTATTACGGCGGAAACTTTTAACTGTTTCGTTCTAAGTAATCTACCGTTAATGGTGGAGTACCAACATTTTTTTGTACAGAGAACTTACATGGAGACGTTAAACCACTTTTAGTGTAACCCAAGGGTTAAAAAATTAAGTTATGACCTGACGTGCAAAATCAACAACATTTTTAATTCATTACCTACCTCCCAAATTACGTCCGAGTACTGCAGTGAAACTGTACTAACGTAGTTAGTTATAAATTTAATTTACACTTGTAATAGTTTAAAATTCGTGATCCTACCACAGCATACTTTTAGTTTTAATTAGTGTTCCTGTCGTACTACTAAGATTTGTATTGTAAGAGTATTTTCATCGATAATGATATTCTCAAACCAATTCTAATTTCAGGAACAGCGTATGTAAGATTAGGTTTAATCAACACTGTGAAGTAGGGCCTTTAATGGGGTTTCTCGATTATTTATTTAAAAAAAAAGAGGGAGATATAATTTATATCACAATTTCACCATTTTAAAACTTCCGCCCAGGACGACACTGTTCTATTCTTCATCTTCACGTGCCACAACCGCGACAATATGTGTTAAATTGTTACCTTAATATTACTTACAATATCAGTAGTCATAAGTAAGGAAAACCTAATTCTGGCGTAGAATTCAATCAGAATGGCAGCCTTCTTCACGACCCGGTGGTTAGGGCATCTGAGGGTCGTAGGTTCGAATCCCACCCCTAAACATGCTCGCTCTTTCAGTCTTGGAGGCGTTATAAGGTGACGTTCGAGCCCACTATTCGTTCATAAAGAGTAGCCCAAGAACTAACTGACAGTGGATAGTTTTGACTAAGTGCCTTCCCTCTAGTTTAACACTTCTTAATTAGTGACGGCTAAGCGCAGATAGCCCTCGAATAGCTTTGCTTGAAATTCAAAAACAAATAAAGCTTTCTTCAGTTGAGGTTTGTCTTCAGGAACTTCAAGTGTTCAGAACTTTACGCGTGTTGTTTACTACAAGCACATTATAGAATAATTTGGTGTCGCATTTATTAATAAATTACAGCATTTTTTTTTAAAGCTCAACATGTTGGAACTTTATTGAATGTGATAGTCGTATAAGCATCCGCACTCAGTGGAATCCAAAATGTTCTAACTTTTAATATGTATCTCAAATTTTACGTCACGGTTACAAAGAAGAAACGATGCCTCACTGACGAAACAAAGACTTTTTTTATACGGCAGTTTATATTTTTTTTCTGTTTCGTTTGAAGTAAAGGTTTGATGTATTATAAGCAAAGTAGTCACGTAAATGAAACTCTCGAAATGAGAAAAACGAGTAAAAAATTAATCTTTAGAACAAATTTATTTCGAAATGTTTAAATAGTAGGTTTATGATTATAGTGATAATTTTTATTAACGTGTAACTTCTAGGTAATATTCAGTTTAGTTAACTTAGAATGTATTTGGTTATTTTAGGAGATCAGTCCAAAGCACATTCCTCAATGTACGGGCGACTAGTCACCCAAGATCAGCTAGCTGCCATGGGAACAGGGACTCAGAGTTCGGGACAGAATGAACTGGTCACCTTACAGTCCCGAATTCCCTATAAAAACAGAGACCCGAGCACAGCTCCCTTGAGAAAACTTAGCGTCGATCTCATTAAAACTTATAAGCATATAAATGAGGTAAGTTGTTTTTCTAGTTTATTCACGGAATAGAAATTATAAATTCATACTGAACGCTGTGTTTTAAGTTATTTATTTTGTTTAATCGTAATCGCCGCATGGGTTTGAGTCCTCCGAGTTATTAAAGTCAATTGATATTTGTTTCCTGCCACGCCCTCTATGGGAAATCTTTAAATTGATCAAGCTTTAAACGGAATTTGAGTGTAATGCCATGGAAACGGTGGGCGTTCATTTACAAACTTCCCCGAAAGTCTGTTTGACTCACGTATGCAACTTTTTTTCATCCTCGCACCAAATTCAGAATGAAATAAACGTTGACACGATTGTTCCTTATCTTAGTTAACCTGGGTATGATCGTAGAGAGAGAGAATGTAAAATATTATTAAAACGGTTAAGCAGATTCTATGTTTAAATCATTTACCACAGCAATATATATATATATTTATAACTCTCTTTTTTTTCTTTCTTTCTTTTTTGAACAGTCGGTAATATTTCGCGAGAGGGAGCCACTCCCTTGCCTTCTAATTTTAATTGTTTACACGGCCTTGCTCGTACATTGGCTCAGATGAATTGGCAGACGAATTCCAGACCGGAAGGACTAAAGATAAAAATTAATGATAATATGTCACGTGCTGTGTTTGCTACACGATGCGCTTACTTGCTTGTACAGGTTGAAAGTATTGCAGTCCTGGAAATCTGTGGGTGGGTGGTGGAGTCTACATAATACCATACTTCTTTCATTCATTAGTATATGCCTCTATTTTTGGCCCTCCAAGTTATCATTTTTTCCCCGCCTATTTGTGTATTAAGCAGTGAATACGAGTCAAATTATCAACTTAAGATGTGCTTAGATCTACCAAAGAGAAAATAAAATATGCTGTGTGACTGGGCCCTGTATTTTATAATAGATACTTTAGAAGTACATACAAGGTATTATAAATTATTTCAAATATGATCTCTGTCACTTGGCACCAAATTTTATAACAGGAGATAAATGATGGCTCATCTCCTCATTTCATATGAGTTCATATTGATATTCTTGCCATTTAGTCATAAAGATTTTGAAGCTATGGAATAGTGATATCTTAAAACAGTAGTAGTGTACTTGTTTTTTGATATATTAATATTTTACATGTTGATGGTTTATGCAAACTTGCTACTTTTCGTAAAAGGAAACACATTTTAGTTACAATCTCAAGTGAATATTCATGTAGATCTCTGTTCAATTTTCTTTAAATTGTGACGGTTGATCAAAGGGTTATTAGTCATAAGCATTGTATTAAACTGTATGTCATGTATTTCACCCTTCCATAAGTAGTTTACAATATACCTAGTCAAGTATATTCACGTAATTTTCCAAAAAGGTCATAAATAGGTATTAATTATTTTACTCGGGCATGTAAAGATTGCATATGCCAACAGCTAGAAAACTGTACCACTTTGGCCCTGTGTCTGTCCCCACACTCTCCTGGCTATGATTAAATAATATAAAACTTTGATAAATGTAAGGATAGTTATGTGTACTATGTTTGTGTGAAGAATGAAATTCATTTCAAATCCTTTGTCTTGTGAACTTTAAAGAGGTGTATTTGTGTTATTATCTCTAATGGTTCCTACATACAAATATTGTGGGATTATAAAAAATGCCAATTCATAGAATCATTTATAAGAAAGTATCACATCTATAAAATATTCAAGACATTTTGAAAATGTATACTGTAGATTGTAGAACATGATACAGTGAGCCAAACTTAATGCTGTTGAAGACTTGATAAATGAATGCAAGTCCTGTGAGTATGTTATATAGAGCCCGGCATGGCCAGGTGGTTAAGGCACTCGACTCGAAATCAGAGGGTCGCGGGTTCGATTCCCTGTCACACCAAACATGCTCGCCCTTTCAGCCGTGGGGGCGTTATAATGTGATGGTCAATCCCACTATTCGTTGGTAAAAGAGTAGCCCAAAAGTTGGCGGTGGGTGGTGATGACTAGCTGCCTTCCCTCTAGTGTTACACTGCTAAATTAGGGACGGCTAGCACAGATAGCCCTCATGTAGCTTTGCACGAAATTCAAAAACAAAACAAACAAATGTTATATAGATGCAGTGTTTGCTGATAGATAAGTTTTAAATTCTGTTCAAAATGCAGATTCTGGAAATGTAGAGCAAACAAACAACAAAAGAAGCACAATGAGGAACATTGGGGAACAATTAAATCAAAATCTTTGTTCATAAGTTTGTTTGAAACTGAACTGGTTAACTTATAAACAAAGGATACAAAAAACAAGAGAGAGACACGTGTGAATACCCCACTTTTTAGTTATGTAAAAGCCTTAATGATGTATCCCATAAGTCCACACATACTAGCTGCAGACCTAAGAACGGAGGTTGCAGTAGTTAACCTTTACCTTTGTAAAAGGAATAACATATGTTTATTACCTTTTTTCATCTGTTAACAAGAATGTCAATACTACACGCAGAAAACCTGTACAAAAATTACCTCAATATACAAAAATATATTCTAAACTAGTTATGGAAGGGTTAATAGCTGCTTCAACTATGACATGAGTTATGTATTTATGAATTATGTACATAGATAGTTATCATACTAATCATGATTCAAGCAGTTTTTGTCAAATAGTTCCATCTGTTGGAAAAGTTTGGTACTTTAATAAAACCTGTCCATTTCCAGTGAAGAAGTTTTATCTTGTAAAATCATCATCTGCTAATGGGCCAGGAATGACCTGGTGGCTAGAATGTTCAAATTCCAAATCTGGAGGGTTCTGATTTGTGGCCTTTTACAACAAAAATGTGTTGCACATTTTGGGGCCATGGTTATGCTAAAGATATGTCTGTATTGCAGAATTTAAAATAGTTTAGTTTTAAATTTTATGGTTAAATTAACATTAATTTTATTGTTAGAAGTTAAAATTTCATTTCTTTACTAAATTCGTGTTTGAAAATTCTGAAACTTGATGTTTACATGACCTTAATCACCATTTGTTAGGGTAATAAACAAGTGAAAGGCCTTCTATTTGTGTGGATGAAATATGCATATGGAGAACTTGTTTATGAACTTTGAATGTGCTTCAAGCTCCTTGCTAGAAATTGGAGACAAGTCTAGAAGTAACTTTTAATTTTAATTATAACTTTAAATGAACCATAAATTTGATATTCCTGCTGAATTTTTTGAGTGTTGATGTAGTTGTGCTAGGACAGAGTTTTGATATTGGCATCTCATGAAAGGAGAAGGACCATTCTGAAAATATCCAATTTTTTTGTTTCTCTGTGTTATTTTCAGAGGAATTAATTTTGGTCCTTAGATTTGTGATCATAGAGCATAGAACTAGAAATAAATTCCATGCATTATTCTATTCTTATTTCATATTTGTTAATACCATTCAACATTTAACACATAACTATTCGTGTCTTTTAAAACGGGAATTCTAGAGTGAGTGATTTATAGCGACTTACCGTCCTCTCCTCGTGCTTTACTTCGACTCGGAAGAAATCTCTTGACACGTTATATGTTAACACTACTCTATTTTAAGTGAACCAGAAAAACATCTCGGTAATAAGGTCCAATTGTTTTCCAGAGAAAATCTGTACAAAGCTATGATCTAAGAGATCGCCTAACACAGACATTGTCTAAAAGTAAGTTAAAAAATATATACTATACCAACAAAATGTTTACTTTTATGCAAGGAAACATATGTTTTATATCCTTAATGTTGATGTAATTGTATTTTTTGAAGGTTTACTACGCTAAGAAAAAGCGGCGAGCACAACAAACACAGGGAGACGATTCTAGCCACAAAAAAGAACGTAAGCTGTATAATGATGGATATGATGATGATAATCATGATTATATCATCAGACATGGAGAAAAGTTCATTGATCGATATGAAATTGATTCTCTCATCGGAAAAGGCTCGTTTGGTCAGGTTAGTTTCACTTGTGTGATTGAAATTTACCATTCTTGTAAAATGTTAACCAAGTAGGTGACAAAGATATCGGAAATTAAAGAATGGGTCCAACTTTCTTTTATATTTTTATTTTAAGAAGATGATGTTTCAAGCTGGTGCCCTTTGTAAGCTGTACAATCTGACGAAGATTGCTAGCTCAAAACGTCGTCCGATGACTCTTAAAATAAAAAATATTTGAAAAATTGCAAATTGTTTACCCTTTTCCATCCTTGCAACTATGGGATAGTTTCAAAATGTGCATAAAATATAAGTAAAACAGTATGTTTATGTAGATAAACATTTTATTCTGGTCCGCTGTTGTTAAATACTATTTGATATAAAGTGTGTGTAATGGTATTAATATTCACTACCTTTTCAGTGTCTCGTATCATACTGAAACTTGTATTCTTTTTTACAGGTGGTAAAAGCATATGATCATGAGGATCAGTGCCATGTTGCAATTAAAATTATCAAAAACAAGAAACCGTTTCTGAACCAAGCTCAGATCGAAGTCAAACTCTTAGAACTAATGAACAGTTATAAAGGCAAGGATGGGTACTGCCAAATGGGAAAAGATAAAATAGGTAAAAGTGTATTAAACATAATTTTTACTTATGTCAAGTCTTAAATGTTATCCTTTTGAATTCCATTATTTAACTAATAAAGTAGTATAAACAAGAGAAAAAATAGATTTTAGTCAACCAGAAAGTATTACAACCTTGTAAAGGACTTAACATCTCTTATTATTATTATTATAAATTTAAAGGTTTTCAAAACTCGGTAATCAAATAACCTAAAAATCATATCAGTAAAGTTTTGATGAAGCTAGACAGAAATGGTAATAGTTTAAGCTATATTTTCAAAACGAGACCCAAAACTTGAGAGCACTTTCGAATAATTGACACAACTTCGTGGTTTAAGCTGTTGACTGATATTTGGAAAATTACCGAGTCAACAATTTTTATTCTTGTGACGTGGTCCTGCTTAAATGACTTGAACATGAAGTGTTTTTTACAGAGTTGTAGTAGGCTGTGTTTCTATCGTTTGTAGTTTCTTAGTTAATTTTTCGTTATATTACAAGTTATTGTGTAATCTAAATTATTGATATAATATCCTGTTGGTTTTCTAATCCATTCAGAATTTTAATTATGACAAGATATTCCAGTTCTATTTTCTTGTAAACTGATGGCGAAGGTTTTTCCCTTGTGTAGTAAAACTCAAAGGCAACTTCATGTGGCGGAATCATCTCTGTCTGGTTTTTGAATTACTCTCTTACAACCTCTACGACCTATTGCGAAACACAACTTTTCGTGGAGTATCACTTAATCTCACTCGCAAGTTTGCCCAACAGATGTGTACGGCTCTGGTGTTTCTGTCCAATACCGATATCAACATTATTCATTGTGATCTGAAGCCAGAAAACATCCTGTTGTGTAATCCTAAACGTAGTGCCATCAAGATAGTGGATTTTGGCAGCTCGTGTCAACTAGGACAAAGAGTAGGATCTTTAGAATTTTACAAGCTCAATGAGAGCTAAGCCTACAGACTTATATTTTTATATGTTTACTAATGCTCATAGTTTTGTTGTATTTTTAGGCCTCAGAGAATTACTAACACACAGATTCCAGTAAAACTAATTTACAGTCAAGAAAGTGTTCCAGCAGCTATTGTAATGCAATTGTAGAGGGAGCTTAAGATGCATAAAAGTAATAGAATAGTAATAATGATAATAACTCCCAGTGATGGTGTAAAATAACGAGTTTCAAAACTAACAAGCATGGGTGAAGTGTTTACTGTAAAGCACAACTTCAGCTGTGATTAGTGTATACAATTAGTTTTAAATTAAAAACATAATTAGCATAAATCATTACACTACTATATAAGATAAAGTAGGGATAAGAACAACTTATGGAGTTCTTTAATATGTGTATGTATGTCTGTTAACAAGAAATACCGTAAAAAAACTGCTTTTCTTCTTCATTCATTCTTCTGTTTTTTAAACTTAATGTTAAGTGGATTTCAGTTGCAATTTTTTTTCCAGTTTATTTATATTGGTTAAACAATAGATCATATCAGGCTTTAAGGTTGGCTTTAGTAAACTTAGTTGTGTATTGTCATTGAGTGTGTGAACATCATACAGTCAGATATCTTGTTAGACAAAAAATAATAACATATAGTTACAACAAGAAGATATAGCAGTGTTAAATTTGTGAATGAATCTCTTTCTCCAGATATACCAGTATATCCAAAGTAGATTTTACCGTTCACCAGAAGTCCTCTTGGGTATACCTTATGATATGGCCATTGACATGTGGAGTCTCGGGTGCATCTTAGTAGAGATGCATACAGGAGAGCCCTTGTTTAGTGGAGCCAATGAGGTGAGTTAATAATCCAAGTTTCTGTTTTTGGTAGTAATCATATTAAAAGAATGATGCCTTTACCACTAGTCCTTTATATTTTACAGGTTGATCAGATGAACAAAATTGTAGAAGTACTTGGAATACCTCCAACGAATATGCTTGAACTAGCCCATAAGGCACGTAAATACTTTGACAAACTTCCAGATGGGACTTATGTTCTAAAGAAGACTAAAGATTTGAAAAAAGTAAGTTAAGTTCATATACGTTTGTGTGCAACCTGTCATTGAATAATTTAAAATATTATTAATTCTTAAATCAACTGAGAATTTCAGTTATAGACGGGTATTTATGCATCGCTGTAGTAAGGTACTACTGAATAATGAAACCTAATACGGTACTATGGAACTCCTAAAATGATACGAATGATTTTGTTGTAAGGATTTTATGCATGTATGTATACACACGCACACAGAGTTCCAGTCTTAATGCTGTTACTAAATCCCAGGATCCCGGCCTTGATTCTTAATCTTTTACTTACATTCCATTTTGTTTTAAATAAACTACCTGCGTTTCTTATATATATCTTAAGTGTTTATAAAATCTCAGCCAAAATTAATTTATTTAGAGATTTAAACGTTGAAAGTGTTGGAAAGTTACGGCTGGCTTATTGTTGTTGTTGTTTGTTTTTTACATACGAGTGAGATCTAAATTTACTAGTAGAAAAGCAGACCTTTAATATAAAACTGTCTTGCTTGTTCACTTCAGCACAATCATGTATTTACCACCAAATAACCGAGATCTTGTTCTCGACATCATGTAACAGTTGGCTATACTTTATTGTTTTCTGTAAGTGAGGAGTAATAAACCCTCTACCTGTCCCAGTAGACAGAAAGTAAAATGTGTGTGTTCCATTCTCTGTGGACTTTAGCTAATAGTCCAGAAATGAGTATTCATTAATTAAATTTTGATACTTTTAAACCAAGAATAAAAGTCTGAAGGTTTTTGCGAAGCATTCTTTTATTGCCTCACCTCACAATTTAAACTATTTGTGACCATAAAACAAAAAATTTAATGAATTTAGCTAGTCTAACTGATGGATAGCTTTCAGGCTCGTTGTGTTATAATTTTGGCCCCTAAGGTATGAAGATTACTGTCCGAAACTAAATATCAAGCGATGCTTGAAAATCATTTACATACAGCAGTTTATTGTAACAGGCTTACTATCTCCATTTATACTAAAACTGACAAGTTCCATACAGCATAAATTTTTCTTGTATTTGTTTTAATATTTCATTAAGAAATAAATCCCAATAAACTATTTATTTACCAAGTACAAGGCTCCAGGATCAAGAAAGTTACATGACATTTTGGGCTGTGAAACTGGTGGACCTGGAAGTCGAAGACTTGGTGAACCCGGTCATACGACTCCTGACTATTTAAAATTTAAGGACCTAGTCTTACAAATGTTGGAATATGACCCAAAGACACGCATCACTCCTTATCAGTGTCTTCAGCATAGTTTCTTCAAACGAACAACAGATGAAAGCACCAACACATCTCATGGCAGTAACTCGTGTCCTGTCATGGATCAGGTCACAAGAAATAGTCCTGGATTTGGACCTGCAGGAACAGGAGGAGGTGGATCGGGATCCAGTTCCAGAAGTTCTAGTGGGTTTCTTTTATACATCCATTGATTTCTTAGTTAAAATAGATTAAAAAATATGTTTCAAATCATCAGAATCTATGAATTTCCACCCTTTTTATAATTTTTTGAACATAAATAGCAATTATATTGTAATAGAAGCCCTCTTTTTTTGTCAGTTAGAGTAAGTAGTGTTAGTATAAGATGTTTATTTACACATTATTAATATACACCTTAAACAGGGGTCCCACATTTTCTGGCTTGAAATAGTCGAAAGAAGACAAAAATTAACCACTGAACTCAGTATCCTGGTAGAAAGTGTTTATAGAGAATTAATTAAGATCATTGCAAGTAATAGGATTTTTATCTTTGAGTGGAATGTGGGTGATAAGGAAAATATTGTTTTTTGTTGTTTTTACCTCAGTCTAAGTGTACATTGTTTTGTGTACAGAGGCTTTCTTAGCCTTTCATAACACTGAGCAAGTTTATTATGTAGACCTTCCTGTGGAACAATTTGAAACTGTTTGGTGAAGAAAGAAGGTTAAGTTCTTGACAGTTAGTTGTGAAACATGACACTTTTCAGGGTGGAGTTATTATTACAATAAGGCATAATATATATATTTTGGAAAGTGGGGGCAAAAAGTATCATAAGAAAGTGCATAATATCAAGTCCAAAATCTCTGTCTAAGAATTTAGTTTAAGATATTTGTTCATTTTCCCCTGATGGAGACAAGATACCTTTCAAAAGTACTGTGTTTCTTGTTTCTGTCTTTAATTGGTTTTTTGAACTTATCTGTTTGTATATATAAGTGATGTTGCCAACAATTAATGTTGGACATTTTTGTCATCAGTTATTTACCTTTGTATAAAGCCTACTAATGACAACAAAGAAATGATTTTAAATATATGAACCACTTCTACTTACTGAAACCGTACGTCAGTAAACATTCTTGTAGCTTAATAAGACCAAATAATCTGTGACTTTCTTGAAATCAGAATTGAATCTAGGTTCAAACTCAGCTTATTAAGTGAATACCATATTAGTGTCTTATGCATGTATAACAAATTTGTTTACCATCTGAATTATCTTTATTTGTTCATTAAAAAACAAGAAGCATTTCTTCAGTTGTTATCACTGGCCCAAAAGATGCAAGAGACAACCTTGTCAAAAATTGTCTTTTGTAAGATGTGTGCCTTCACCCATTGCAGCCTCTACGATGGTTTTATTGGTTGTATTATAATACTTTTTTTTTAGAAGTTTCTGTCTTATTTGGATACTAATCTATATTTTTCAGTGTATGATGACAACAAACATAATTATTTGGTGTTTTCTTAGGTTCATCTGCAAACCATACCAGTGGACGAGCACGTTCGGATCCAACTCATCAGCATGTACATGGACAACTTCAACATAGTTACACCCAGACTTCTGGATCACATGCTGCAGTACACTTTGGTAGTATTGCTTCTGTTGCCTCTGCCATGGACTGTGTTAGTCCCATCAGTTTGGGACTGCCAAAAGGTCTTGCTTGGGTATCTTCCTCTGGACTTGTAGGAAATCCACCTGTAACAGTAGTTTCTGCACCAACAATAGCTGCTGCAGGAGCAGGGTCTGTTGCCATTGGTCAGCACTTACACTCTAGTGCTTCATCAAGTGGTCATGGTGGTACAGGACATTCACACATTCATGGACATAGTCACAGGTTTCGAGGACATCACCATGCCACTCCCCATCAGTCACAGGGGCAAGGCACGACATCACACGTAGTCATGGGGCTAGACCCTCTTCAGTCCTACCATTCCCAAGCAAGCTTAAGCATTGCCTCCACCAGAGGGAGCCATGCATCATCATCTGCTGTGTCTTCCGATATTGTGCCCATGGACTTCAATATGTTTACACACTCAGTGCCCACATCTTTAGACTGTACACAGACCGGTTCAGTGAACATGCAGCTAGGAAGCTATCAGGTCCTACCACTGTCGGGGGGTGTGTACAGAGGACAAATGGTACCTCAACCAGGCTTTCAGTCGACAAACTTATCACATTATGGTGTTACCCCTTCCTCAGGTCCCTCGACACAACCTTCCAGTCTATCATCGACGGAGATTCCAAGACAGAGCTCGGGGAGTGAGGAATCTCCAATGGTTGGTGTATGTGTGGAACAGTCACCTGTCCCAAGTCACTGACAACTAGTTGTGCTTAGTAATAATTTTACCAATAAGTAAAAGTGGTGTGCTTGATTTGCTGTGAGACAGTGTTTAGATGTGGTTTGGACAAGAGACAAAAAGCCTGACTGTGATCTCTCTGACCATTCTGATTGTATGGTGAACATTTAGTAAATTTAATGTCAGTACTCAAGCATGGAATACTTCCTCCATGTGGATCTACCAACTGATGTGTTACAGACAATGCAATTTAAGGTGTTCTTAAGAGATACGAAATACAATTTATTCATCTAGTTTGTTTTTTATCATTTAACCAAACCAAGTCAATTACTAGTACTCAGAATCTGGTCTCCGAGTTCTCCTTCGTGTGAACAGTACTAAATATTTAGTGACATGATATTTTCGTCTTCAGTTTCTAAAGTTTTATGGGGTTTTGATTTTGACTGAAAATAATATCTAGATGAATTCTCATTCTTGGCAGCATCAATCTGCCTGTAAAAGGACTGAAATACTGTTGTAAATATAACATACTGATATATTGATTACTATTTATTGTTCCTCATGTGGGAAAAAGCTGCCACACAAGCCTCAGCTAAGCAGGACGGAGAATGTAACTTTATTCACCTAGATTTCAGCAACTAGAATTGTAAATATTCCTCCACAGGTTTTGTGTGGTTATCTTCCAGTCAGGTCCTATCTAGATTCACTGAACTGAGTGAATAGCCTTTCCCTTCCTTTGATTTCAGATGTACATATATAAATAAGTATATATATCTGTTGTCACAGACACCTTGTTAATCAGCCAAATTTCACTCGGCATCGTTACATCGGTTTTTGGAGATTTTAATTAGTCATTGGTATCACTCTGCTAAGTAGCAAACCAGTCAAGTTAGGATATCATCAGAAGGTTAAGCACACAATTCAGTTAACTTATGTTCCATTCCACACCATCCTATCTGTTACTATTTTGTTAAGACCTTCCACAGTCCTGATAAAAGACAAAGGTTTCGTCCTCTGCAGACTTAGTAAAGCTTGTTTGTGTGGCAGTGTTCCAACAAACCTAATCCACAGATAGTTATCTTTAGTTATAGCAGCAATCTACTATCTTATGTGTTTTTATCTTTTAATTACGATTTTTACTATTAGTTCTGAATCTGCTTTTACTGTTACAGTGTGGTCACATTTGCTGAAAGCTAAGGAAACAAAAGAGAGAAACCAATATTTCTGTTCCCTCTTTGTGCCAATGTTGAGAGTGAAAATTTTTAGAAGTGGCAAAGTATTTTAGTTCCTATCCTGAACCCACCTGTTGAGGCTTTTTTATGTCAAAACAATTGCGTTTTATTTAGTACAGTTTTAGCCTGTGACATTTTTAATCTGTTCTTGCCCTGGTGAGCAGGCCAGATGTAACTTTTAATTCTGTGAATGTTTGTGGCCCTCGTTTCCCACATGCAGGTAGTGCAGATGTATTCATCGTTAAGTAAATACATTGTCTAAAACTAAAGTTTGTTGTTTGTTTCTTTATTTTGTGTCAGTGACCATGATGTTTAACATTTTTGTATAATAAAACAGTCGCAGTTCAGATCTTTATCGTTGAGAAATGAGAAACTTTATATTTTACACACAAAAAATTCTAACTTAGCATTAAATTTTTCTTCTTATACTGCATTAGTGCAAGAAATTTAAATTGGCAGGACTTGTAATGTCGTCCTATATTTAATAACTAATTGACAATAAAATACGAAGAAGGAAAGATTGTGAAAATGAATAAAATATATGCCAAACAAAATAAAAAAACATTTATTATAATAATTGAAAGGAAGGAAATTCAGCAGTGTTTTATGAAAGAACGTACTCCAAACAGACAATAACCTCCTCCTTGTTTTTTCAAACTGCCTTGAAAGCTTCTAAGATTCGTTCTTAAATTGGTGGGTTTACCTTGAGAAACATGCTTTTAGTCTCCCGATTCCTTTCCATTAATAAAGTGGTGTACAGACCAACTGTGGGAATTCTAATGAAGTAATGCTAGAATCAATAAATGACATTTGGCAGTAAAAGACAAGGATTGATTTGTGACAACTTCAAATTTGAGAATAATTAGTTTTGAAATACTAAAAACTGTCACCAAGTAGCTGAATGAAGTAAATTTAACAGTGATCACCTTTCTTTGTTGGTGGGTAAATTACATCTAATGATATTGCTGTGTTCTTACAAAAACAGATCTTGAAATTTGTGGCCAAGTAACAGGATGGAAATTATTCCCAGTCAATATTAGGATAGAGCCATTGCCTCATGAATTTGAGAGATTTTCTGCTAAATATTTTAGAGAATACTCTTGTACAGTATTGTTATATCATTTCTGAAAGTTGGTAGCTTTCAGAGAAGGTACAGAAAAATTAAAAGTGCTCTCAGGATTACAGGTATATATTTAGCCCATGTTTCCAAATAGATACACACACACAAAATTAGCATGTCGAGAAAGATTTTAGTGATGTTTATATGGCCGAGCATAGGCCAGTGGTCAGTGTGCTGGACTGTGGTTCACACCCTGTTACCACTAAAATAAATCCATGAATTCTGGTAATATCCATCCACCTTTTTTTCGGTACAGCATTAGAATAATGTCCGTATGGAAACGAAATTAAAACTTAAGATTCACCAAGTAAGGCTTCCAGTTCAATTATGGTATACCTCAAGCACCTAATGTATGAAACTTTTATTTATACTATTTTATGTGAAGACATACTGGTCAAGTCATCAGGTGCAGTGTCTTTGAATTCTTTATGACCAGACTGTAGAAACAGGTGCTGTGAAACTCGTCTTCATACACTAAATTATGACAGCTTGCAGGAAGAAGTGGTGTGTTTTGGACATGAAAGCATTGTGGAAAGCTTGCAGGAAGAAGTGGTGTGTTTTGGATATGAAAGCATTATGAAAAGCTTGCAGGAAGAAGTGGTGTGTTTTGAACATGAAAGCATTATGAAAAGCTTGCAGGAAGAAGTGGTGTGTTTTGGACATGAAAGCATTATGAAAAGCTTGCAGGAAGAAGTGGTGTGTTTTGAACATGAAAGCATTATGACAGAGTCTTTTGCAATGAAAACTAACTGCAGGGTAATTATCAAAATATGCATGTCCAACATGGGATGTAGCGGCATGTACTGTCACTACATAAAGAGGTTCCAAAATTATTTTAACATAACGTGCTGTCAACTGTAATGGTCAAGTGTTTGTGACTGATTTATAAGCAATTTTGCACATATAGTTTTAAATTAGGAGTCAATGTACCTAAACCTCAAACTGAATTTCATTTTGGTGCGCCAAACCAACATTGCTTTGTGAAATGTAGTACGAACAAATTTTCACGAAAATGTTTGCCCACCGGTAACTCAGAGTTTAAGTTTGATGTCTTATAACGCTAAAAATATTGGAATTCGATACCTGCTGAGTGGGCACAGCTTAGATACTCTATTATGTAGCTTTGTGCTTGAATTCAAGAAAAAAAAAGTTTATTTTAATTCTCTTTTAGAAAGGTAAAAATAAAACAATTATTTTTTTTAGCAATAATTATTGCATTAGGTTGATTGATATGTGCTATTATTTATATGAGAATTGTTAAACTTTAATAGGTTGAAATATTCAGCAATTGTTTTTTGTTTTTTTATGTTTGTAGTTAGATTTACGGTTGCGTGATATTAATGAAAACTAAAGGAAGTAAATTTTTGGTGGTTTAAAATAAGTTCCGAAAAATATTCGCGAATGAAGACGTACACCCATTCTACATGGCTGAACGGGAAGTTTGAGAGGGTTTTACCCTCGTGTCGAACATAGCAAACACGGGCATTTTGACTTAACAACAAGAAAATCGCCTGCCAATGTTATCTGTTTGTGTCCTCACAGTGAATACAATAAGCGTGGTTAAATTTTTACCATAAAATTAAAGTTTAGGTTCTGGTACGTGTTTACTTGATATATTGAATGTAAGCCTAACGTGACAGACTCAATGTAAAATCTTAACTAAACGATTACAACGACACGTGATTTTCAACGTCGGGTGGGATTGATTATCAAACTTATATAGTGTAATTAAAATATCCGGGTTGAATTTGGATAATTCGATGTTCACAACGTTAACTTCTTTACAGTGTAGGACATGCTGAATAAGTAGAATTTTTGTGTTTTCATTTAGATATAATTTACACTGTAGGAGTTTAATATTTTAGTATCCCCTACCTGACAGAAGTAAGTCACGTGCACTTATTTATTTTCATATTCATAATATGTACAATTTATTTTTTGTAAATTAAAAGTAAAGGCCTGCGGTAGCAACGTTGTACTATTCTTTTACTATAGATTGTTTTCTGTAATTCAGAAGTGAAGGCCTACGGCGGCGTTGTACTCTTCTTTTACTATAAAGTTTTTCTGTAATTCAGAAGTGAAGGCCTACGGCGGCGTTGTATTATTCTTTTACTATAGATTTTTTTTCCGTAATTCAGAAGTGAAGGCCTGCGGCGGCGTTGTACTATTCTTTTACTATAAAGTTTTTCTGTAATTCAGAAGTGAAGGCCTACGGCGGCGTTGTACTATTATTTTAGTATAGATTGTTTTCTGTAATTCAGAAGTGAAGGCCTGCGGCAGCGTTGTATTATTATTTTACTATAGATTTTTTCTGTAATTCATAAGTGAAGGCCTACGGCGGCGTTGTACTCTTCTTTTACTATAAAGTTTTTCTGTAATTCAGAAGTGAAGGCCTACGGCGGCGTTGCACTATTATTTTTCTACAGATTTTTTTTTCCTTCATTTTTTTAAAGTCGGCGGATTCTCTTAATTCGGAACTTCTAAAAAGTTCCATTTCTTTCTTGTTCTAGTAACTGCTATTCTTCCTTAATAATGTTTCCTCGCCGCCATTTCTTGACAACTTTACTAATTCCTTTTGTCTCCCGAAATGTTCCGTTTCAAGCAAGTTAGCCTTAACGCGAACGTTGCTTTTCGTTTCATACTGTTGTATTTTTACCCTGCTTATAACTTGTTTTGTGGTATTCAGGTTCATTGATGTAAAGCAGAGTGCAGATGAAAGAAGCACACACCCAAGGGGTCAAACAGAACATTTTATTTACACGGGTCTTTCAGACTTGCTTGCCAGCTTCCTAATTACCGTCTGGCTGTTGGGGATGAAGATAGAACACGCGTAGCCTAAATAAAGACCAATATAACTTCCTTGTTGATAGAGCGGTATACCGCTATTCCCTAGATTACCTGCTTTGACCAATGGTCAACAAACAATCTCGAGCCAAGCTAGTCTCCCAATGGACCATATTGATTGTTGTTAAGCGCAAAGCTACACCATTGGCAATCTGTGTTCTACCCACCACGGGAATTGAAAACACAGTTTATTTCGTTGTAAGCCAGCAGATTTAGCACTAAGCCACTAGGGGGCACACTGAACTGTGCGTAATTCAAGTATTTGGTATTGCTTGTGTGAATAGGCTTCCCACTAACACAAACGGGATCATATAGAAACACGTGCGACGAACTCAAGAAAAGAAGGCTGAAACATATAAACTATACTCGAGCAGAATTATTTGAACATATTTACGACCTTTCAACATTAGTTTAACAAAAATGCTCTACTACATGTAGAACACGCGAAACTTCAGAAAACTTACGTGATTGTTTTGGAATAAATATGTGTTCTAACATACTGTATGTTTGATACTTTTCATTATGATATAGGTCCAGCTTATCTCTCTTTGGACTTAAATTGTGTTCAAAGTTACTAAGTAGAATTCTCCGAAACTAGTATAACCCAGTAACACACGTTAATCAAAGTGTAGCTTGAACTGGACCTCCCTTGAACTTAGACTTTAAGATTAAACAATTTTCGGAATACTAAGTTTATTTATTAAATATGTGTTCCAAACTAGTTTTGAAAGGGTTAAATTAATCACTATTTCCTCCATTACAGTTTCATAAATGATTTTGTGTGTGTTGTAAACCACCTTTAAATCGTAAGTTGAGTTATTTTGTTGTGAAGAGCTTGAAATCATTTCTAATCTCTGTTGCTTAACTTAGCCCATACGTTAGGATACTAGTATTACAGCTTTTAACGACTATTTTTCATTGATATACGCGTCTATCGTCTGCTACCGAACCAGTTAACATGTTCATTACAGGCATAATTATTTACAGTTTAGAGTAATTTCATATATTTATATGATGAAATGAACACGCTGTGAGTTATTTGTTTTACGTGGTTGTGATTCTACGCTAACTTCACATTTTTTGGTAAGTTTGAATTAACATTTAGAATAGATAGGCCTATTTAGTTATAAATCTACTAATACATCATATATTTAACCTCACATGCAGAATTAGAATATGTCGTGTGTGAAAAAGCAAATAGTAGGCCTAGCGTATAAAATAAAATTATACCGTCTGTCATAAATAGACTACGTGAAAAGAGTAAGGCTTAAATTATAATACTAATTATGTAAAATGAGATTAAAGTCAAGTCAGGGTAACTGGTACTTGCATGAGGTGGAAGATGGGTTGAACTTGGAAATTGTATTTTTTTTAGCATTAGAATAGACAGGCCTATTTAGTTATAGATTAATTATTATACATCTACTAATAAATCGTATATTTAACCTCACACACAAAAGAAATTTATGCAGAATTAGAATGTGTGTTAAATAGGCCTAGCCTATAAAACGCTGTCTACCATAAAATAGACTATGTGAAAAGAATAAGGCTCACATTATAATACTTATTGTGTACAATGAGATTAAAGTCAAGTCAGCGAATGTATTTTATTCTACTTTTTTTTTCTCCGGGTGGTTCGATACCTGGAAGTGTTTTCTTCTTTTTTTGATACATTATAAAGTAAAATATTGGAAGCCGGAAAGCGGTTCGTCCTCCAGTAAAAAATATAGCTGCTATCTCTGAAGAGACTACAGCAAGAGCAATCAGTTTCTTTTGTCTCTCTTTTGCAAGTATCCTTTTTTTGACTTAATGCTGTGTTTCTCAAATGGACAACTCTATGTTGAATGCCCAAGAGTAGAGAACAATAAGGGCCTATTTATCCTTGTCAGTAAAGGAAAAACAAAAACATCGTTCATAAGGAAGCCCTTATTTATAACATGTGTGTAGTTTATTTTCAAAAATGAAACCTAAGTTTGTTTTTTTATTTTTTATAAATTCACAAACTATTTTTTACCTATCGAAATATGGAACGGGGAAACACAGAGAGTAGGGTTGTTGTTGTTTTTTTTCGAAAACCCGGGCAACGATGCTATTAAAGCAATATTTGTTTATATGCTCTGATGTCATGACCATTCATACTGTTACGACAGCGGGGTCACGTCACGCTAGTAACACGTAATATTCTCGAAGGTTCGTGAAGTCTCGAGCTTTTACTAGATATACGGTAGTGTTGTGTGTGTGTGTGTATATATATATATATATATATATATATATATATACACA